AAATTAGGGACGGCTAGCGCAGATAGCCCTCTTGCAGCTTTGCGCGAAATTCAAAAACAAAAACGTTTTCATTTATGTAACAATAAAAATAATATTTAATCAATAGGTAAAACTAATATATTAAATAATTACTATTGTTATTGGTTGGTTTTACGATATCTTTCTTCTATTATTATCAATTAGTTTGGTTTTTTATAGTTTTCATACTGCTTATCTTCTGAATTTAAAAAATCTATTTACTGAAATGAACTGATATGAATCACATGAAACGTTCATGGTTTGTCCGACTTTCTGTAAAGAGACGCGCCATCTCTTGGTGAATTGAAGTAAATTCAGACTCTAAACTCCGCCTTTGGTAAATATTCGAAGAAGGATCAAAGGTGTGCGATAATAAGAATGAAATCTAACACAGGTAAATGAAATTGGAAATTATTCAAGCACTGACTACTCACCACATAGTGTTCTTTGTTTTACGTGGTTTGCACGCATCGCGAAATTTACTTTCAATCTGTCCTTTGCTGATAGTGATATCGAACTCTATTTTAATCGTAATAAGCCTGCAGACTTCCCGCTCACCACCAGAGAGAGGCGCTATTTCCCCGAAAAGGGATCGAAAGCCGCCTGAAGGGGTCATTTGTTTTAACCACTCGCATCACTATACAGATGCATGTTATTTGTCAGTCAGTCAGTAGACATTAAAATGGCGTCACACAAGGGACTCTTAACGTTGCAATTTGTACTGTCGTGACGTCAGTAAGACGTGCACATCCTGAATCACGAGAAGAATTACGCACTCTGTATGCTAAAATAAAGCATGACATAGGACCTTCAAAAGCAAGAAATAAAAATATTTGTTACTCTTAATTTTGGTTTTATTTGCTCTCGAACCAAAACACTTTCGGGGACTCTTCGCAAGTACAGTACATCTAGTTTAGGTACTTTCTATTATGTTTTTAGTGGTATTTTTACTAGTTTTTTAGTCTGTTTCCTTAACATTAAAAGATTTAATTGACATATATTGAAATAATTATAGTTAAATAATTCCAAGATCAAAGTTAACCAATTTACATTAATTTCTAGCTTTTTTACAGGTTTATTACATTCATTGATATTTTTTACATGTGCGAGGATAGCCACTTAAAAAAAGTGTGTTCCAGAAATGTTAAGTCATGGAATAATAATACAAACTCTAGATTATCAGGAATACGTCAAAAATTTGGCAAGTTTGTCACATTTATGATTTACAGTCCTTGGTAAATATTGTTTGCGAGTCTCTCATTCAGAAAATGTTTGTTTGGTTTTGTGCAAAGCTACACGAGGGCTACTTACACTAGCCTAGTCGTCCTTAATTTTGAACTAATAGTCTAGAAGTAAAGTCGATAGTCAACCCCAACCACCAGTAACGGAACACGAACCACAGCCCTACAAGCTAGCATGCTTACCACAGGGCCGCGTCTGGCCCTATTTAGGAAGAAGCCTAATAGAGAAAATATAATAGTACGTTTAGAATTAAATCTCTCCAACTAGTAAAAAATGTTGTGGCGGATTTCATTCTCCAATCGGCAAGCAGAAAAACATTTAATCTAGAGTAAGAAACAAATCGTTTATTATACCATATCTGTGTGTTTTGCATGTTTCAATGCCTCATAAACAAATGGATCCCGTAGTGTTTTGACACTTACAACTTGTACGAAAAGATACATACATACTGTTTATTTGCTCGTTTTGTTTAAGAGAAAATGGGCTGTCTGCGCTATGCCCACTGCAAGGGTCGAACCATGAATTTTAGCATTGTAAAACTTCAAGCTTATCGCTGAGCCACTAAGGGGGGGGGGAGCAATAAGTATTCATAAATAATGCATTTGTTTAAATACATTGAAATTACAATGATTTCACGTTGCTTGAGGAACAACAAGAAGAATACAAATTACTTTCAAATCCATCATTTAAAATTTACTTTGTATGATAAATAGTAGAGTCCAGCTTTTTAAGAAGTAAAATTTTCCTTTTTTTATATTTTCTCTTAGTTTCTTTATACACTCTACTTCGTTTTGCAGTGGATCAGCGGTAAGTTCACGAAATTACAACGTTATACTCCGGGATTCAATTCCCCGTTATGGACAGAGCACATGTAGCCCATTATTTAGATTTGCGCTAAAACAAGCTAAATATTCTATTTTCTAATAGTTTATATTTGAATTTATTTATTACGTTTGTTATGTACAATACGCTCAGATAGATATTTCTAATTTGTAGGTGATGACAGAGAAGAACCAGGCGTAGAAAAATTACTTGGTAAAGTCTCGCCATATATCGTTTCCAACGTGACCGGAAGAACTGGTGAAAAGAACAAACGATTGACAGCTTTCCGGTTCTTGCCTTCGTTCAAAGATCGACTTCGCACTAGTTTTTGTATGAGCATCCGCGCTGTTGCAGAGGAATAAGATGGAGGCGGCGTATACTTAGGTGGTGGATCGTCTTCAAACGTCGTATTAACAGCGCCTCCTATCGGAGAAGACGACACAACATTGTTTTGTGACGACGTTAAAGCCATATTTGCTGTGGCAAACACGGGACAGCACCATTGTTGTATACGCTGTAAAACAAACAGTACAACTGTAAATAGCTTTGCTAAAAATAATCTTAACATTTCTGTTCAAAATCATTTAGTGATAACAATCACATGGAATGACATTATTTGCATGTAAAGTATGATAAGCTGGGAGGACGCGAGACAAGAAATTCACAGTTTCAGAAAAAGAACATTAAATGAATTATGAATTACCGGCACTTATGTAATATTTATAATTATAATAAATAATTATAAACAATGTTTATTATTTACGCAATTAAAACTTTATTGAAGCCGGCTTCAATAAAGTTTTAACTGTGTAAATAGTAAACGTTGTTTTTAATTATTTATTATATTTAAAGGAATTATTTAAACCATTTCAATTTTGGAAATTAAATAAATAAGAAAGACTGTCCTTATTTTCTGAAGATTCGATGATGTTTAACCATAGAATTAAAACTACCATTTGTTATACTACTGTAAAAGTCCCATCTTCAAGGCCTTGATATTTCAACAAAAAGATTTCCCAAAATATACGGTCCACAATGATAACACAGGCCTGCGATAGTTTTATTGTCTTGAAATGTTTACATGTTCTACGATACCTCCTGTACACTGGATCCGAAAATATCTATTTTTCTCCATCACGTACAGATTTGACACAAAACGTCATAACGCAATACATAAAAGAAAGACCACAATACATAGTTTTGAGACTAAAAACGTAGATTTCACACACA